AGACAACATCTATATAACACAAAACAAATGGATATAAAGAGTAACAAAAGGCCTTTGTGATTCATTTGTAGGTTAATGTATTTTTTGAACTGCTTTTTGTTGTTAATACTTAAAGATTGTGAATATTACAATGCAAAAACATTTTCAGAACAAGTTAAAATTTTCAGAGCTGTTGCACCGCGAATAAAAGGCATCAGCCAATCACGTTGCGGAACAGGATGAGTTGCGCTTATATTTGTAAAACAACAAACAGGCTCCGTAGTCTGAAACCAAGACGGCAAACTGTATTACTCCACTCCCTCCGTTCTCACCTTTCACAATAAAAGCCCTAAACATAGAATATTTGTAGGCGAGTATTTCACATTTTTTGTGTGTCGTTTATTCGACACTCCCCCGTTGTGTAAAGGCCTTTAGTTGTGATAATAATAGTGCAAAAATGCAAAATGAAAACACGTTTCTTTTCATGGATTCTGTCGCTACTTTTACTTTTCTTTTGCTTGAGGGATCATTACTTTTTGGGTGGGTTTCCACCATTTTTTGGCTTCTTTACTCTACATATCTAAACAGATGTGTTGTTTATCCAGCATGTATACTTGGGAGTTACAACACTATCTGGAACGTTTAAGTCACGTTCAGATGCGAGTGAAAAAGGTCTCTGATAAGATGCACATTATGTGAAACTATGAGCTCCAACAGGCTGAACAGCTTGTCCACAGTGCATCGTTAGGATCACCAACTCTGTGTTCCACTGCTGCAAACATTTGTGCCGATTAGTGTAGTTCCGTCTGTGACAGTCGTTCCCTGACGAAGAGAGAGATGCAGCGTTTTGTACTCGAGGCTAACGAGTCCCGTCGACACTCTGAAGCAATAGCAGCAAAACAGCAGATCTGCAGTGTTTTTCTCTGGAGGTAATATCTCTCTTTAAGACAGGTGACGAGGCATTTAACAGCCTGGAGGGAAGTAGTAAACAGAAGTATTTATGTAATCTGAGCTCTGGTGACTGGAGGTTTGGTGAACTAGTGCGCCGCACCTCTGGCTCACGCTGTGCTGATGCATCTCGCCTTTCCCTCTATTTACCTCTCCAACTAAAACTGCCACATCAGACTCGTCTGATGCTCATGAAGGTGAGGAACTAATGTCTTCTCTCTTTCCCCCGATACAAGAGTTCTTTCGCCTTCATATGTTGGGTGACTAAGCAGGGGATGCCAATCACGATGTCAGCTGTTTAGATCATACTAGTAACATACTGCATCATTTTATTGATTGTGATCTTTTTATAGTTTATTTTTAAAACAACTCTGTGACGTCAAATTGCAAACGAGCAGACGTTCGGTGATTCGGGATAAATTCACAGCAGACGTTTTTAGGACTGAAGCACTTTGTGTTGATGGTCTCTGTATCTCAGGCTGGACAGAAGAGCCCCATTAAACAAAACAACTCCAAATGAGCAATAACTTAAAGGAGTTGAGCTCCCATAAATACCCCCAAAAATATTTATTATCTAGCTCTGCTTCCAGGCCTTTTTGCATCTTAACGAGACTTTGAGAGTCAAACTGCAGACTTGTCTTTAATCACCGACAGTATCGAGCTGCTGCTACATCTCTAGACTCGTGTGACGGACAAAAAGAAACGTTTAACGACCTTCTGCCGTTTCAAATTACGTCCAAGAGAGCAAATAAAAACAGGAACACAGCTCTGTGTACTGTAACTGCAGCGTCTTGAGGAGTTACTGTACACACACACAAACCACCACTAAGGACTTTTATTTTGAAAGAAAGCCCACATTAGCACCATCTCATCAACGTGTGCATAGTTCATATTTCACAGCAGCTTTGGTAATTGCTCACCAAAAGCTGAGCTGGTACAAAGAAAACAATACATATGATACAACTGCACTGGGTTATAGGCTTCTACTTTTAATAAATTATTAATTAGAAAATCCAACAAAACTATCAGTTTAATCTTTTTGACCTTTGGTGAAGGCTTCACAGAAAGCGTTGATTTATACCCGACGGCTTTAATTGAATTGAAGGTAACTTGAGAAACTAAGAGCACGCTGGCCTGAGCTGTTATCTGCAGAAGGATTTGAACATTTAGAAACGTGAACACACAATGAAGTACTTTAAATCCCAACTTGACCCGTCCCCGTCTGTTTCATGACAAGTCCGCATTTCTGACAACTTTATCTTATATTTGTAGATGTGGCTGTAATTCCTATGACTGATTTTACTCACAGCTTAATCACTGGAAAGTGTTATTTACACCGTCCATCAACATCTGTTGATGCAGAGCGACGTCATAACTCCATCGATATATTGTGTAGTGTTTTGAGCAGTGATGTACAACAGACGCCTCAGGTTCAGCTTCACTTCTACATTAAAGAGATGAGAAAAGATATAATTCAGGTCTGGAATTAGATTTGATCTCCCAGACGTGCGAGTGGACTTCATGACGCTCCGGCCGTGTGACCATGGCCCCCACAGAGACCACAGTGAGGGCAGCAGCACAGCAGCTGATCTGCACTGGTGCCGAGATCACCGAGTGATTCAAGAGAAACCAGGTTTCAACATCAACCACCTGCAGGAACGATGAAGTGTGTAACTGAAGGTAGAATAAACACAAATCTACTGAAAACAAACAAAACACTAGAAGATAATAATCCTCATGTCTCGGCTCTGTGTTTCCTCTGTGGTGAGTTTACGGTTATTTAGACAAAACAAACATGATCACCAAGCAAGGATAAAAAATGTAATATATTAACTATAAATAAATAAAAAGGAAAATAAGAGTTCACAAATAAAAAGGCCAAAACAATTAAAAACAAGAACAGCTTTCAGTATTTAGTAAACACAAAGAAACTAAACTCTAATGATTCTGCTCTTTGTATTTGTCATTTGTTTGTATATATATTTTTTATTATCTACTTGCTACTATTACCTTGTATTATTAATATGGTTATGATTATTATTGTTTTTATTATTGTTTGTATCATTGTTGTTGCTATTGCTTATTTACTTTATTACTCTATAATTATTGTTGCTATTATCAATATTATAATGTTATTGTCTCATTTACTTTTCTACTTTTTAAATATATATTTTCTATTTATTTATTTTCCCCACATCTTTGGTTATTTATTACTTATTAATCCCACATTCATTACAAACATGACGATGCGCCTCCATCTGACGCGATGGGCCTCACATCTGACCCGATGGGCCTCCAATCTGACCCGATGGGCCTCCAATCTGACCCGATGGGCCTCCAATCTGACGCGATGGGCCTCCAATCTGACGCGATGGGCCTCCATCTGACGCGATGGGCCTCCATCTGACGCGATGGGCCTCCATCTGACGCGATGGGCCTCCATCTGACGCGATGGGCCTCCATCTGACAGGGCAGTGAGGTGACGATGGAGCACCGCTGCACTCAACTTAAACACTCTTCCTCAAAACACAAACAAGCATTTCGCTGGGGACACAAATGAGCATCCTGTCCTTCATAATTAAGAAGTATTCTTTTCCAAAAGTGAACCAAGTTTTCTTGGTAATTAATGCAAACCAAAGAGGAAAACGCTCAGAAATAATACACTCTCCGAGTCTAGTATCTCTTAGATGTATAATCTCCACAGACAGCTGTTTAAATACATGTTCTGAACTTATTAAAGGTATTCATAGTGATCGATTGATGAAGGTTCTCAGTGTCACTAAGGCCAGTTTCATTATGAGTATTCCCAAGTTAAATCAATAAATAAAAACTAGATGGATTTCTTCCTGAAGCCTACATGAACATGAGAGTGATAAGTCCCCTTTAAAGCATCCAATAGTGCTGACTGAATTCAGTATATTAAAGCAGACAAAGAACATTTTGTAAATACTGATGGACACTAGAGAGAATGTAGCTTTAACACATGAAGCTTTGGCTTCACTCAGCAGAACTGGAGGTTGCCGCCTGGTTTGAATGAAGAACCGATGTTTACCCGCACATATATACTCAAACATCTACTGTATATTACTGTGCCAAGTCATGGAAAAAACACTTGTTTAGGACTAAAATTCCCAAAACAAAGTAGTAAACAATAGCAGTAAAGTGTAAAGTTAAATGTATAATTGTGTATGTCTACAGAACATACATGTATAAGCTCACATGCAGACCCAGATGAAAGGCCGGCTAGATGAAGTACATGCATCAATAAATCATAATCTATGAACTTTCAACACAAACACAGGGAGAGAAGCTGCTGCTCAGAGCGAAGGGACTTCCTGCCGGGACGTCAGTGAGAGCCGGCAAAAGGGCACGAGGACATAATGAGGCAACCGGTATCGTATGTATAATTTATTGTGTTTTTGGAGGCAAGCTGAGAAAAAGACCTATCGAGCGAAGAAAAACAAGCGCAGGGACAAGTAAACAACAGCAGACTTGTGAGAGGAAAAGAGTTGTGAAGGAAAGGCGGAAATTGCGAGGTAATGTCAGGTCAGAAGGCCTCTGAATGTTTGTGTGCTCAAGCTTCTACTTTCAAACTCTGCTGTCCTCACGAGGTAGAGAGACGCAAAAAGCCACTCACCCATTTCATTCCCACAATCCCTTTGTTTTATCAAAATATCTTGCAATTCTAGGTTAATGTCCTTAACTTTAGATAATTTACTAAATGAACATCATGCTGTAGTGAAGAAGACTTGAAACTAGAGATTGAGACCATAAACTCATGTTTACAATGTTTACTGAGGTAATAAATCAAGAGAGAAGTAGAGTCATTTTCTCATAGACTTCTATACAACCAGAGGAGTCGCCCCCTGATGGACACTAGAGAGAATGCAGCTTTAAGACACTTCCGCATCGGCTTCACTCGGCAGAACCGGAGGTTGCCGCCTGGTCTGAATACAATGAAGCCATTTGTGTAAATAAAGGTCTGTGTATCACCATGTGTGATGGTGTATTTGGTTGTATTTGCACTGTATGTGTCTGTTCTGTACATGTGTCCACAGTGTTCGATACCTTACCCGCTTGCGCAGGTTGCAGGTGAGGATGAGGTTGCGGGAGAAGGAGTTGGCGAAGGCGGTGTAAAACTCCAGCACCTTGAGCAAGGCCTCCCTCTTGATGACGTGGAGGTCGCAGTACGTCAGCGCTCGGACGTTGGCGCACGCATGCGCCAGCGTGGTCTCCTTCCAAAAGACGTCGCCAAACACGTCGCCTTTACCTGAAGACACGAGAGATTTAATTATCGTTCAGCTGTTTGATGAAGAAGACACCTCGAAGCTAAACTGACCAGAGTCCAATCATTAACTAGGATGCTTTAGATTCACCTCATATGCAAAACATGCATTTACTCAATTCACTATCGACAGAAAATTAAACGGCATATACTTTGATGATTGTTTAATGGTTTAAGGCGTTTTTACAGGACACATGATGAACATTATTGTATCAAATTCCAGGTAGTTCAGCATTGATCCGATTTGCTGCATGTGAACAGAATATTTTTGGGGTTTTGGGGCCGTTGGTTGGACAAAACAAGACACCATCAAGACGTGATTTGTGGTTTTAGGAATGTAATTAACAGCCGAACACACTTAAGTAAAACTATCTAAATACAACTGTGATGAGATTACATGAATTACGAACACACAACCTGAAACGTACAGCCGAACAAACCGTATTACCTCCGACGTATCTGGGACTTCAACATGTACAAAGCAGCAATAGTGGTTATTTCAGCCACGGTAGACGAAAAAGTTCATGTAGCGGTGAGACGAATAAACAAACGATTCCGCGGTCAAACTCGCAGCGAGTCCTTCGTACAAACCTCTGATTCTCCGACACGAACCAAAACACAAGTACATCAAGTCACTGTGGAGCGCTGCCCTGGACTTTAGTGATGCGTGTGTGCGATAAAGTTAGTCTCTCAAGCTTCAGCTCACTAAGGAATGCGTCTTCTCATTTTATTTTTACCTTTACAGTTTGTTCGTATCTACTGTGACAACACCACAGAAGAAGAAGAAGGAAGTGAAGGTACAGTAGCTGGCATGTGCTGATCGAGAGAGGACATTAAAGAACATGGACCAACACGACACACACACACACACACACACACACACACACACACACACACACACACACACACACTGTTAGTAGTGTTAGAATATAAAGCGAAGGTTTGAAGAAGGCGGTTTGTGTGACGCTGATGAATTACAGGATGATTAGCTGGTCAGAAATCCACACAGTGCGCTGACTGTAAAGCATCAACCATAAACCATCCTCTGCATGAAGCACAGACGTCCTCGCATCTTTTTCTGTCCTTAGCAACCCTTTTTTACCTGGCCAAGTCCTTAGCAACCAGAGCTGCTGATTTCCCCATGTGCACCGTGCAAAGAACCGGTGAACAGGTCCAGCCTCAGACCCGACTTCATCCGAGTGGAATGAAAAGGAGCGAGACACGGCGGAGAAAAAGGAAATGTATATATAGACATGTTTTTAAAGTGTGACTCACAGCAGACCTGATGCACCGTCTGGTGTTCATGAACACTGGGATGACAAGAGTCGACTGAACAATAAAGTGGTGCGACGAATGAGAGGAAGAAAGGCCGGTGGTGGCATGTAAAGTCAGAGCAACGTGCGTGAGGAGGGCCGCACGCGTGCCGCACGCGTTCTTTCAGGTGAATAAAGCAGTTAAACAGATTTTACAGAAGGAAGTTGCTATTTCCTTGTATCTAGCAGCGCTTGAAGCACTCTGATCTGCTCTCCCTCTGTCGGTTTCAAACCGACCGCAGCCACCTGGACACTTGACTTATCAACTGCCAGCATATATATTCCCTAAATGCTAATCACCCGCAGCAGATCAACGCTTGTTTACACTTGTGAGCGTCTCCAGGGCAACGCCACAATAATAAGAGGATGAAGAATCATAATTATGAGCAGCGTCAGACGCGTCACACGTCGCCAAAAGCTGCTGCGTCTCATCCGAAGGCACTGATCCGAGAGCTTTTTCAACTAAACGGCAGAACCAGGTGAAGCACGAAATAGAGAAATAAATTATATATTTTTCAATAATATATTAATACTAACAGTACACTGTATTTGTTTAGAACCTTCCACACAAAAAATGCTTTAAAATAAGAGAAAACAGACATAAAGAGAACTAGGGGTGTAGCAATATACCAGTATTGAGGATAACTCAATATTTAAAAAGTGAAATGTTAATAATCATGTAGATACTCTGGCACCTCTTAAATCATTCATATTAACAGTTATGGTTACAGACTCTCTCCACCTCCCCTCGCTCATATTGTTATTGTATTTATTTGCCAAAAAAAGAGACAAAACGCACCGTAAACAAAGTTAAATTTGACTAAAAGCAGTTAATATCTTCTTTCACAATTTTCTGCAGGAAATAGAAAAGTTGTTCTTTTTCTTTTGGCCGTAACCGTGAAGCGAAAATCTGATATTGTGACAGCACTAGAATTAATATAACAGTGATGGACTGCTGAAGTTAATGGAAAATATGATGGAAAATGAAACACTTGCCAATAATAAAGCTGAAAAATGTAGAAATCAGTCCCCATATTTACATCAATAAACCTGCAGCAACATACCTCCATTCTCTTCTTTTCTACAGAAGTGCTAAAGATTTGAACTGTTAGGATGAAAACTCAGAAAGTATTTCACTTGGAGTGCACCATCTACCAATCGGTGATTGAATATAATTGTAATTATACATCACTTTTCCCCCCTGAAGAGATCCAGTTGCATTCTGGTTGTAACACGTAAAACAGGTCAAATCTGAGCTAATAAGGACTCAAATCTGTGTCAAACCTGCCATGAACCATCAACTCAGCGTTTTCCTGAGCTGACCTGGATACGATTTGACGAAAAGCAGTCAAAGCTGTCACAACACTCTGAGTAAGAGGCGTCATGCTGTCGCTAAAATGCCGACAGAGTGTGTGTGTGTGTGTGTGTGTAAGTAAGTGGATCTCATCCCCCACCCGGTGACTCAGGCAGAAGGACTCGTCTTGAATGAGGTCCCCAGAGACCAGCAGCTCTTTGCCAATTAGCCTCATGGACGTGGACGCAGGTCTCAGAGGTGGCGGCTGTGTGCACCGAGTGCGACACTTACACTGGGGTGAGAGGAACCGCAGCGAGGAGCTTTGCGATTGGCTGAGCAGAGATGGATGAATCGGTGTCGTGACCCTTGTCGTCACACCCACAACAGGAACCATTACTCATTATATTCTGCCTGACTCCTCGGGGGGGGGTGCTAATTGTTTGATGTACGCCGTTTCACACGGAAACTGACAAAAACACTCATGTACCCTCTCTGGTGTACTGGCATGTACTGTTTGACTCTAAATGGACCATAATGTACTAAATGAACATCATGCTGTATTGAAGAAGACTTGAAACTAGAGATTGAGACCATAAACTCATGTTTACAATGTTTACTAAGGTAATAAATCAAGTGAAATCAAGTGCAACCGAGGTTCTGCCAGGTTCTGCCAGGTTCCCAGCTTGCTCAACTGATAGAACACAAAGCGAAAAGGGGCGGGACTTAGAAAGGGTCAATTGTGTTTATCCATACAGAAGCAGGTTTAAAGGTTTAAAATAAACTCAGTTAAACATTCAGTTGGTCTACATGAGGATCAACTTATAGTTAACATTCTGACAAATGTGCAGATGAGACTAAATGCTGCGTCCGCCATCAGCAGGAAAATAAATTGCCTGTGGCCGGTCGTGTGTGTGTGTGTGTGTATATTGCTTTATCTTGCCTTGCAGCTCACCACATGTCGGTCCAGCAATCTCCGGCTGATACTTTCAGCTGGTGTGCTGATGCTGCTGTTGTCACCATATCTCGGAAAACTGAGCGGGTGGAGAAAGTTACACAGCTGCTGTGACACTGATCCACCAACAGCAGCATCAATGCCTCATTGGATTAGAAGGACTACTACCAGCATGTGGAGCACCCATTTAAATTATTATAGTAGTTCCACACTCTGTACAAATGTGGTCCCTGCCACACATAAACAGCTACGATGCAATATGTCTGACACTTTTTTCCAGTTTCAGACATTAACTGATGAATGATTAATGAGATCTACATAAATATGTTCACTGTCGGGGGGGAAAAAAAAGTTGAGTGACTCATTCTGTCGTCAACAAAAGAAACTTGATCTTCCTAAAAGTCCCAACGTGATCAGCAGCGTGATATTAATCATAACCACTTATGCTAATGAGATCATTAGTTAAGATAACTGATGTATTAATCATGCTTCTGCGTCTCGTCTCCACAACATATGGGCAGTGTTTCCCTTGGGATGAATAAAAGATGCATCTTATATGAGATTAAGACCACGAGTTCATTTGTAAAAATCTTTTATTCCCCAAAATGAATATGCAAACGCGGTCATGGAATGTTTCTTAAAAATGTGTGAAAGCAGTAGTTTGTGTCATGCACTATAAGTGCAAAGCCCACATGGATTTATAAGACAGTTAGTTGCAGTAGTGAAATAATAAATAATAACTACAAATAACATGTACCACCTTCACAAAATGTAAAAAATACAATCAAACTCGCATCTACTTCCTGACATGTTGATGTCAAGATAAAACACCTGGTGGTCATCTATGATTCATAGCACCAGAGTTACATAATAACTCATTTTAACATCGATACTGGACGGTTATGGCTCTGGATTTATTCGCACGACCCGACAATGAAGGCCTCACTTCAATCCCCCAGAATCTCCACCATCACGGATCGACTAGTTTTAAGTGCTAGCTTTAGCTGAGCTTATTAGCTTCCTTGTTGAAAGTTAAATGAGAAGATTGATACCACTCTCATATCGGTATGTTTCAGGGCGGGTCCATCTGCGTTCTTTTCCAGGTTTTACAAAAGGAAACGCAAAGTAAAATTACCGTTTTTGTCAATGGAGTCTTGTGCCTTTTGAGAGAGTGGTAAGAGCTAGAAAAACATATTTTAGCTAAAAAAGTACAACCTAAAAAAAATCTATAACAATTGAGGGGACGCTAGATTTACAATATTTCATGGCTTTACCTCGCTGTCAGACAACATTTACCGACAGGGAACTGAAGCTGTTATATCTCAGTCTTCAAAGCCACAAGACTCCTTTGACAAAAACAGTAATTTGACCTCACAGAACAGAGGAGTTGCTGGTCTACCGCTGAATCCATCGCTTAGTTTGTTTG